GTTTTTCTTTTTTATATGCACAATTCCCTTCATAATAAAATAAAATAAAATAAATAAATAAATCTCCATAGACAAGCAAACTAGACGATGGCTAATACATCTTCCGTTTCATTTTTGACACCCCCCACCTTTCTCCGACTTGACACCTTGAAAGTATCTCTATACCGCTACTTAATATAAACACCCTACACTCGCCTACCCAATTTAGACAATTCACCATAGCTGTTACCATGGGGATTTTGATTTCAATTTTAAAACAAGTAAATTTCAGATATACGTTATTCCAACAAAAATTTCGCTTGAGGATGGAACGGATCCCATTTTACTTTCAACTCAATTTAATTTAAAGGATTATATTGAAGTTTTCGGCTCTTGTTTTGAAACATGAGACCTCTTATGTAAAGCGATTTGGAATCATATTTTTAAATAAATAATTATATATATATATATATATATATATATATATATATATATATATATATATTTGAGATTTTTTTGTTGTAGGAGTTTATCATTCAATGTGGCATGAATTAAATTGTTCAATAAATAGAGTAATGTCTCAGTTGTTATCCTGAAAATTTGCATGTCAGATCAGTTCTTTTCAATCAAATATGTGATGCAGTTCAATTTATATTTCAATGAATCATTCATCCAAAAAATTATGTATCCGTTAACAATAACACATTAAAATTAAAAAAAACATATTTTGATTCGCATTTAATTTTTTCGTCTCTGATGCTACCTAAATTTTACCAAAACAAAATAATTTCTATGCTCGACGATGACTGAATGTACAGTTAAAAGTACTTGCGTATTAAACAAAGAACTTATGCATTTTATAATTGATAAAAACAAGGATCATAATATTCATTAAATAAAGTATAAAAATTTTTTGCGAAGGGATTTCGCCATTTTATATCATTAACTTTACTAATCTACTTTTTGTATGAATGGTTCATAATACATACATACATATACATATATATATATATATATATATATATATATATATATATATATATATATATATATATATATTGAAGACATTTTTATGTTTATCTTTAATAAATTGTCGGACTTTTGTCCAATTCTTAATATATATATATATATATATATATATATATATATATATATATATATAGTGTAACCCGGATATAAGAGAGTTGTCGGGACCGGAGAAGAAGTCTCTTATATCCGGGTTTCTTTTATATCCGGGTTTGGTCTATTTTATATACATTAACACAGACTCTAATTTGGGACCAGAGAAAATCTCTCTTATATCCAGGTTTCTCTTATATCCGGGTCTCTTATATCCGGGTTACACTGTATATATATATATATATATATATATATATATATATATATATATATATATATGGTGCGCCTGGCGTTTGAGAACACATTTTCCGGGGGCCATAAATGGAAGATGTTCATACTGAAATGATTCGGCCTTCGTCACATTCATACCTAGAGCATTAGCATCGGAGATTCCAAGCCACGAAATGAAACGACACCCCACGTTCGTGTCACTATGACTCAAAGGCAAAAACTTGGTATAGCGAGCCTTTTGAAATTGGTCAGGAGAACAGAAGTAATAACAAGGGTCCGTGAGCGGACCGCAGGGAGCTATCCACAGGAATATACAGAAAATTCATGTCTTCTGTGACGGTCCAGGAGGTTATTAGAAGCCATGACTCTGTCATGGCACCCTACTTCTGCACATGGAGATCAGGGATTAATGTAACTAGATAGTAATCCAAGACATCAGTTAATCCTCGGATCGAGGATAATTCTTACAAAAGCATTCCACGCGAGTCATTGGGTGAGATTTGTCCCGATTATGTCATCTGCAATATGTCAGTCCTACATTTGTTCTTCTAGTCACCCAATTTGAATTAAACTTATCCGTTTGAGATATCGTCATTAGGGTGACCAACTATTGACCCCATAATAGCGATGCTTCGTCCTAGGACGCCATCTTATCCATGAAAGCCAACGTGAACCTCTTGGTGCTATGTACAATTAAAAAAAAACCTTTACTGAACTTTTACATTTTTCTCTTTTATTTTAATTTGCTCTCAAATACATCTCTCTCTCTCTCTCTCTTTGTGTATATATATATATATATATATATATATATATATATATATATATATATATAAAATAACTCTGAGTCCCCAAATCAGAGACAGAAGACCGTATATGGCAACTGGTAACAACTGGTGTTTGGACAAAGTCTCTGTATTCAGCCCTTCAAAAAGTGTGGTTGGTTCTGGATGGCAACAGTCTGTTTCGTGTTTAAACACAATCGTCAAGTCACATATCTGTCAGACTTCTTCAAAATGACAGCCTGAAAAAACAGTATTATATATATATATATATATATAGTAAAACTGATTTAAGGAATGTTATTTATTGGTGCAATGTCCAGAACATATAAATATAACTGGTTGGTGTTAGCATGGATGGCAACAGTCTGTTTATTTAAACACAATCGTCATACCAGACTTTCACATGTGTTAATAATTATGTCCACACTGTGATATCTTACCGTTTTAAAGTCTGTGATATCTTTGAAAAAATCATGAAAACTCCAGCGCGGTTTGACCCAATCTTTGTTAGCGAAATTGGACAGACAAAACTGTTGGGAATCTGTCAATGGTTTTGCTAGCATAATGTCATAAGTCAGCGTTACCAAGGCTTTGAACGTACTGACCATACTGTAAGCCCCACTCAGCATAATTTTAGTATAAACCTCAGGCGAGCTCTGTGGACATTGGACTAAGACATGTGATTGAGCTGACGTCTGCAATATCAGATCGATGTACTTAGAAACGAATTGCCGGAAATTATATATGTATGTTGGCTGATGTGAGGGATCCCGAGTCCTTTTTAGGAATCTCTTAAGAGCAGCTAGTTTTAGGGGATATCCTTCAAGCAAAGGAAAGCTTGTATATAAAACCTGAAGTTGACTTGGCCTTTGGTCAACCGTTGTTGTGTCAATGGTGTTATGGCCTGTTGTGTTGAAAAGTGGGTTTATCTGTATATCGTTGTCAGAAATAAGGAAAATCTTGGACAATCATCTTTGAAATTATTCGTCCGTGGGTTATGAGTTCATGGAGGGGTTTTGCTCGGTCACGGTTGGACTTGCATCATGTATGTAGGTAAAATCATTATTCAACACCAGTCAGTGAATTTAAACTTATTCTCAAGCCAGGGTCCCGCCAAAAACTTACATCCAAACTCTTTCTATCCCATTAGCCTTCCCTTCTTTCTTTCTTTCTTTCTTTCTTTCTTTCTTTCTTTCTTTCTTTCTTTTAATTATTTCCTTTCCTTCTTTGCTTCTTTCTTCCTCTTTCTTTCTTTCTTTCTTTCTTCTATTTATCTATTTATGGTTCTTTCTTTTTCTTTCCATTTTACTCTACATATATATACCTTTATTTAACTATTTATCTACGTACTTAACGTTTATATAATCTATTATTATAGATGATACTTGCGTCTATTTCCAATTCTAACACACACACGCGCATGCACACACACGCACACACACACACACACACACACACACACACATATATATATATATATATATATATATATATATAGGTAGAGGGTTAGGTAAATGAAATAACTAGTTTGGTTTAGTTTATTTTGTTTTACAGCATGTCAACTTCAATGGATTATTTAATGCTAACAAAATTTTTATTGCTGGTAATATGTTTTTTTCCAAAAATCTATTTCTGGGAATATTTTTCCTTGAAGAAATCTATAGCTGGTCATATTTTTTTTCAAAGAATATATAACTGTTTGTATTGTTTTTTTGTTTTTTTTTAAGTATTGCTGATAAAAAATTTTCCTTCAAAAATTATTGCTGGTAATAATTTTTTATTACAAAGTATTTCTGGTATTAATACCTATTTTTACACAATTTTGGGTGTTAACTATTTGCCCATAGCTGGGACCCTAACAAGTGCTACCACCCCGGGTCAGGGTGGATCTGGGAATACGAGCACTTAAGAGGTGGTTCCACGCTTCTCAAAACCTCTTAATCAGAGACTTTGCTGTTGGACGTAGTTTATCGTCTTACCCAGGACGTTTTATTTCTGGTAATATTTTTTCTTCAAAAATGTATAGCTGGTAATATCTTTTTTTTTTTTTAATGTATTGCTAATAATAATGTATGGCTGATAATAATTATTTACAAAAACGTATTGCTGGTAATAATTTTCGTCAAAAGATGTATTGAAGGGGTTTAAACCCAGTTTTGGGGTTAACTATTTGCCCATAGTTGGCACCCTAACAGGTGCTACCACCCTGGGTCAAAGTGGACCTGGGAACATCAGGAATTAAGAGGTGGTTCCACGCTCCTCAAAACCTCTTGATCAGAGGCCTTGCTGTTGGACGTAGTTTATCGTCTTGCCCAGGACGCGGACGTAGTTTATAGTCATACCCAGGACGAGAAATAACTAGATATTAACAACCGTATATGCGCGTGCTGGCCTGTTGTGCTGAAAAATTCTCAAGCCAGTGTCCCGCCAAAAACTTACTCATATTCAAATTCTTTTTATCCACTTTAGCCTCCCTCTCTTCCTCCCTCCTCCCTCCCTCCTTCCTTCCTTCCTTCCTTCCTTCCTTCCTTCCTTCCTTCCTTCCTTCCTTCCTTCCTTCCTTCCTTCTATTTATCTCCTATTTATCTATTTATCTATATAATCTATTATTATAGATGATATCTGTGTCTATTTACATTTCTAACACAGACCCACACGCACACATATATATATAGGTATAAGCTTAGGTAAATGAAATAACTAGATATTAGCAAGCGTAAACGCGCGTGCTGGTGTGCATACACAGGTAAGCAAAGAAATAATTACTGGAGGTGTAGACATACTAGTGCTCGATGTGAGTAGACAGTGCTAAAAAAATATATATCAATAAATACACATATACCTATGTTGGTTACCCAACTCGTCGGGGACAAGATATGGATTACTGTT